ACATACACATGGAGTGCAATTTTGAGGTTCAAGAGACACAAGTATAGTTAACTATTTGATAATCAGTAGTAGAATTGTGAATCACACCAAGTTGGCCTTATTTTAGAAAAATATACACACTATAAGTAATCTTTGATATATATGTTAATGGAGACCTTAATCCTTCATGTAATAAATGATATATATGGGTGGTCTATATCATATGAAAATGATGTTACTAATTCAGTATTGCTGCATCACGGAGTTTGAGCTTCTTTTTTCTTTTTTAAAAAAATTTTTAACATTTTTATTGAGTTATAGTTATTTTACAATATTGTGTCAAATTCCAGCGTAGAGCACAATTTTTCAATTACACATGAACATACATATATTCATTGTCACATTTTTTTTTTTGCTGTGAGCTGAGCTTCTTTTTTCAATAAATGATTCACATCTCTTTACCACTTCCATCTCCACCTGTGGTTTCCCTATGAGACCACATTAGCATATTCTGAGTTTCTCAGTGTTATTTATGGACAACTGGTTAGAGAAAGGGGGTATGGCTATATCTAATAACATGAGAGAAGAGATTTTTGAATGCCTTTTTGCCATATCACTGAAACTTGGTACATAATGAATTTCAATCTGTTCCTTTTTTTAGTGAATCACTTTAGGGTATGACATATCATCTTCAGTTATTCACAAGGCATGTAACTTGAATGTTAAACCAGCAACAGTCTTCATTTATCACCCCAAGTCTTGGAACACCTCTTTCCTCCCATTAACTTGACTCTATTGTTCCAGGTCTTGTCTTCTCCTTAAACCAAAGATTCTATCGCTGATCTGCAGTCTTTATTCTCCAGGCACTGTCTTTTCCATCTTCCTTCCCTATCCAATAAAAAAGTGTAGGGATTTTAATTCTATAGCACAATTTAAAAGAGTTATGTAACCATAAAAATTGGTGTCAGAAAATAAAGATGAGAAATGATACATAGATGAAATAAAACTTTTAATTTAGTATCTAGTTAGAGTGATAGCTATTAACAGAGTCTTATCTGAAAACATTTTTACAGGATATGTTCCCAGTTAATCACTTTTGATACTAAATTTGCAAATTATAGATATTTGGAAAATATTTTCGAACAACCTTTAAATTAGTGCATAAAAGCTGATCACAGCTCTCATTTTGTCTCTGACAATGTAGCATTAAGAAATTTCAGAAAATCACCTCCTAATATCACCAGTCTTGTAAGATCAGTGCTGTGGGTGAAGTGAGAACATGTCACAATTACTCTCAGGTTACTCTAACATGTGCTATGTAAAGATCTTTTTCTAGGAGCAGATGGAGATTCAATAATAAGTAAGATGTAACCTTTGCCCTAAAGAAGATAGGGTCTAGTGTTGGAGACTGGAATATGCACAATTATTTATAATAGAAGACAGAGTGTGTGAATTTGCAAGGGAGGGAGCAATTACCAGAGGCTTAGAGAGCCAAAAATAATGATGAAAGTGAGGTTCTAAGAGCTGATTAGCATTTAGCAAGTAGAAAAGAAGATAATTTTAAAATTAGAGAAATAACAAGTAAATTAAATGGATATATATGTGCACTATGATGCAGGAGATAATAGTCCTGTGAAAATTGACTGCCATGTATGTGGTATTCAAGGAAATCTTTATATGTCAGATTAAAGACTTATCACCATTTACTGAGATCATTGCTGGGCAGGGCTTTATAGATGCACGTTTTAATTTAATTTTGCTTCCTGTTCTCTAAGAGAAAAAATTTAGAAAAAAAAAACTAGTTCAAACATGTCTTTTTGCCCTTGAAAATACAAAAGCTTAACTGAACCTAAGAGAAAATGTTCATTCATGCAGCTTTAGTTTGTTAATATCAAATGAAAAAGTTTGTTTCCCAGCCTTCAGACTTAATACTCAGCCCATTTTTTTTCATAATGGAAGATTTTTCCTTTTAAAATTTACAAAAGTAATATATGAACATATCATTAAAAATAAGTTAAGCATTAGTCATGCATATTGAGAAAATTAAGACAATATCTCTTTCCAACTAACTCATTCCCATCCTGTTCCTAGAGGTGATAAACATTTTCCTTATATACATGAATTATAATATATAAGTATTCTGAGCCTTGGAATTCTTTTTCACTTAATGATCTTCCATTGCTCATTTCTCTGCTATTATAAAACATGTCACAGTGACCCTTATTCTGTATGCCTCTTAATTCACAAATGCAAATTTTAGCTTGGATTTTAAAACATTTAATATACACAAACTCTCCAGATTTTAATCAAGAATATGTGACTGTTAATAATGAAATGATTGTTTTTTCTTTTTAAAATGATCTTTTAAATGGATATATATTAGCCTATTATATACAATGTTACTTTTTTGTAGTGCACATTTCTTTTCTTCTCTTATTGACTACTTTCTCTTCTCAAATTACTCAGCTGCATTTAAAAAACAGATTAAACCTAGTGTTTATCCTTTCATACTTTCCCCCATGTTTACATAATATTTAAACAGATAAATACAGTTCCATGTATCTTCATACATACCTACCTTTATACATACACATATATTTGGTCTTGTTTCATGAATGTATGTTATATTAAACATAAATTAGAATTTTGCTTTTATTATTCACCAACACATTATGAAATCTTTTCTAAGTAAGGCTACTTGATTTCATTAATCCTTAATTTTTATTTGCTGATTTCCCATATTTATTATTCCCAGTGAAATACAGAATTAGTATCACATGGAATTTGTGGATTGATTGAGCCAGAATAAACTTTTACAATATAAATTACGTTATACAACAAAAATGCATTTTCATTTATGTACAAAAATCTGCATACTTCTGTGAAGTGTTTACAACTTTTTATTAACGTGTTTGAAACATATCTTTTTATGTTATCATTGGTTATTTTCTTTTTGTTTTTGTATGATAAATAATTTCCATCATGTGTGTTTTAAAAGTTAATTCTTTTTATACTTTACTGTTTCATTATGCAAATAACATGGACCTTTCCTTACGGAATAAAGAGAAAAAAATCAGAAGTATACCCAGAAAAAGTGAAATATGACTTTGAGGATTTCCAAAAAGTCTCATTCCCCTTACCTGGTTTATTCACTCACAGTGTATTTATTAAGTACTTACTGTTTGCCTGTAATTTTTTTAGACATTTAATAGACATCAGTTAAAGAAATGAAAAAACCAGGACCTTCATATGAGCATGCGTGTGTATATGTGTGTGTGTATTCATACACACACATCTGCCAACTTAATAGTTTAGAATATGCTTATGAATATACATTACATTATATATACACACATCACATACCTGTGCATATTATTATATACACATATACATCATACATTTAAATATGTACATTAGTATATCAGAGTACATAGTCATATAAACAGAAATAGATGGGTTTTATAATATAGAAGGATAGCAAGATGTTAATTTCCTTTTTTTGTATACGTATATTTTTATTGAGGTATAGTCAGTTTACAATGTTGTGTTAATTTCTGGTGTACAGCATAATGCTTCAGTCATATATGAACATACATATATTTGTCTTCATGTTCTGTTTTACTATAAGTTAGTAGAAGATACTGAATATAGTTCCCTGTGTTATACAGTATGAACATGTTGTTTGTCTATTTTATATATATTAGTATCTGCAAATCTCAGACTCAAAATTTATCCCCTCCCACTCCCTCTCATCCCGGTAACCACAAGTTTGTTTTCTATGTCTGTGAGTCTGTTTCTGTTTTATAAATAAGTTTGTTTCTCTTCAGATCATATAAATCTTTCACCTTTTACTATAATTTATTTTAAACATAACATTTTTCACTTGAGTTCTAATTCATTTGTTTTAATTGCATACTATTCAATATTATATTTTACAACAAAATTGTATTTTACTATACCACCTTAGTCCAAACTACCATCATTTCCCTGTTAGATTAGCCTAATTGCTGTCTCTTGCTTGCCTCCCTACAATCTGTTATCTACACAGTACCTGGAATGTCACTTAACTGCTTAAAATCATCAATGGCTTCGTTCCATTGCATTTAGAATTAAACCCATACTCCTTAAACTGGCCCCTCCCCTCTCCCTCCTTGCTATATTGTGCTCCGGTCATACTGTCCTTATTTTGGTTGCTTAGGCACACTAAGGTCATTGATACCTTAGGAATTTTGCAATGGGATGTCTTTCCTCTGATGTTCAGATGACTGGTTCATTGCCATTCCTGATTCAGTGGAAAATGCAGATTCCTCAGGGACACCTTCCCTTACTAACTTGTCTGGGGTGGTCTTCTGGTCACTTTCCACTGAATCTGTTTAGCTTTTATATTTTCTGGAAGAAAAAATTTGGCGTGTGTTTTAAGAATAGATACCAATATTTATATAATTTATACATAAATTATCTAAATCTAAATCACCTTTCTATATAAATGTTACATAGTCTTAGCCTGACACCTACACCATTTCTTCAAAATATCACCTCCACGAAATCTGTCTTGTTCATCACTGTGTCTATAGTATCTACCAAAGGGTCAGGGACACAGGAGAATCTCTATAAACGTTTAATCAATGGGATGGCTAAGAGCATAGGATTTGACATCAGATGGCCTTGGAGTAAACTACCAACTCTTCTTTCTCACTATATGTTATTGGGCAAATTGATCAGCTTCACTAATGCTGTTTTGATGTAATTAAATGAAAACAATAATCATGTCTCGCTTTAGGGTCATTACCCTTCCAACCCCCATAAAAATTTAAAATAAACCATAGTACATCATAATTGTAGTTCTGGCTATTGTTACCCACGCCATATCCATCCGTGTTATCTAGAGGTGTCTGGGTTAGCTTAACACACTAAAGATACCAAAGGCCTGTAGAATGTGATTTGTTTTTCTTTCTTCCCTTTCTACTTTTTATTCATTTTCTTCCTTTCTTTTTCTTTTCTTTTTTTCCGAAACAAGGAAGCTTATTTGAACCACCACTTCCCTGTTCTGGAAGATACACAGCCCCTCTGTGGGAGGTAGGTCTCCCAGGTGTCTCTCATCAGTGGCCTCCCGGAACTGCTCGACAGGGAGGGTAAAGGAATTCGCTGGAGATCTGGCTTTAAGGGGAATTAGCAACTCTGTTTAGGAGCCGGACGGACCTTAAAAAAAAAAAATCCCGGTGTGTCCCCACCTGTGGCCAGTTTATTCCCACGTGGCCAGAACACGGGATCTATCCCAGGAAGCTCTGGGGCGAGTCAGCGTCTTCTGCGCATGTGCGGCGTCTCCCATTCTCATCTCAGCCATTAGGACCTCCGAGCTGTCCGCTCCGGCCTGCGCTCACCCACCAGGCAGTCTTTCTGGACCGCAGTTCCCTTCAGGGCGCCAGTGACGTGGGGGTTTGCGTGGAGGAAGCCGTCAGACAGCATACAGCCCTGCTGGCCTTGGGGGACTTGGGGTCTGTCTGCAATCTTGATTCCCAGCTGTCCCCTCATCTCCTGCAGCCTTGATCAGGCCTGTAATGGCTTCCGAAGTCCCGCAGACTCTGGCTTCAGGGGAATTAGCAGCTCTGTCCTGGACTGTGCTGGACGCGGACAGCGGTGTGTCCCCACCTGTGGCCTGGCCTCTCTCTGCCCGCCTGGGCCTGGGACCCATCCCAAGAAGCCTGGAAGCAGTCACACGGCGCGCGCCTGTCAAGTTCCCTTCGCTCACCCACGTCAGGGACCAGGACCTCTAGCTCTGCGTGGACTTGGGCTGCCCACGCCCAGCAGGCCATCTTCTGGGGCCAGTGGTTCCCAGGACTGCTCACCTGATGCAGTGAAGGTCGTTTGAGTCAGACCATTTAAGGCCGTGTTCGGAAAAAGTCTACAGGCCCTCCGTGGGAGGCCGGTCTCCCAGGTGTCTCTCAACAACGGCCTCCCCCGCACTGGCCTGGGCGGAGGACAAGGCTCAGGACTTCTGCGATTTGGCTTCAGGGGAATTAGCAGCTCTGTTTAGGAGCCGGAAGGACTTGGGCCGCCTGGTTTGTCCTCATAAGTCTCCACCTGTGCCTGGTTTGTCCCTACGTGGCCCAGACCCAGAGACTGATCTGGAGGAGCCTGGATGCCGAGGCAGCAAGGTACGTGCATGCGCATTCCACCCCGGTCGTCAAGTCTCTTGGCTACTTGTTCAAATGGTGTCTTTGAAAGGGGTATTTAGTACGGAACACTCTGGTGGGATGTAACTTTTTTAGGATATGGTCATTAGAAGATACCTGTTTTATTTGTTTTTGTTTTTGGTTACTGGAGCTCATAAAATTTGAATCTAGAAGCAGAACCGTTGCCTTAAAGTGAATAAGAAACTTCCTTGGGAGGTGAATAGGAGTTATTTTTCGAATTATTGGCGATGTGCTCATGGGACTGGCATTTGGCTCTAAAACACTAGATAAAACTGAGAGACTTAGTAAGGTGAGGTGGGATTGAAGGAATAAATATATTTTATACAAGGAACATTTTGTTAATGTTTGATTTGAACTCTTGTAGTTGATACTTAAAACAACTGAGAGACATCTCTGATAGACTGGGTCAAGGTGAGATATCATGCAGCCCATCGTTTCAAACTGTACTTTTTTTTTTTTGTCTTTGGTTTGTCTTATTACATGTAAAAATGGATAAAGAACTTTGTTTTATGTAAGTGTTATATGGAGCATATAAGGGGGTGGCTTACTGTTGTTTTTCCAACTTACTCTGCTTACACCTGTGTAACCACACTAATTTTTTCAAACCATGTCACAGTTAATCAATTGGAGGCAGAATAGGGAACAGTAGAACACACTGGAGAACATTCACTTTCTCTTGAGAACACTAGAACACAGCTTTCATTTTACAATAGTGATGGAAATAGCACTGTCATTGCCCTTTTGCTATTTGTAAAATGGAGGCTTTAATTCTTAAGAAATCTTTTAAATATCCTGCTCTTAATGTGTACTGTTCCCACAAAACAGGTAATGTTTGGTTCGTAAGAACTGCATCTTTATGATCATATTATGACATCTGTGGCTTTTAATATAAGGATTTCTTAATGAGGCTTTTGTATCGTATAAACTTTTATTTTAAAACTGAACTACTTTATTATGATCACTTGGATCTTATCTTAAATTTTAACTTTTTCATTCAACAACTTTTCAGTAATACTAATACATATTTTTCTTTTAATTTTTTCCATATCTTCTCAGAAAACAGGTTCTGTGGTGTGTATCATTAACAAATTGCTTTTTATTCAGTAATGGGTAGAAAATGTTTAATTTTGCTCCATCTCATGTTGCTAATAATCTTCATTTAAGATAATGTTATATCAGGTTAGAATGTTTCAGAATTGGTATAATGACAAGATTATATCATTAATGAATTTCCAGTGTATATCTGTACATCCTTTAAAATAATACTTTATTATGTTGGCACATTAGACAATTTGTACATCATTTTATATCTATTCATTTAAAATATACTTTCCATGATAATATATTTAATACAGTATCACATTCCCTTACTTATAACTGTTTTAAAAGTTTTATTGGTAATATTTTAGCAGATATTTTAAAGTATTTTATTATCAAACATGGAGCATAAATCATTTTCATAGCTATTTAAACACTGGATAAAATATAACAAACCTCCACATCTATAATTAAGAGGTTTTTGGGGAAGGCCAGTGGTATGTGAAATAATGTGCACTTGTGCTGTCAGTCAGGAAGGTTCCTTGTTTAATTCTGGAGATTGAAGAAGCAGGTGATTACATGACCCAGAGACCCCACGGCAGGCCCATTTACCTCCTCCATCTAGACAGATGATTACAGGCTTCATCAATCTTTTAAGGAGTCACAGAGAAAAGTTCCAAATTAATGGTCCTTCAATGCATGCAAATCTGAATATTTTCAACATCATTTATTTCAGTTTTGCAGAGAATATTGTGATGGTAAAGAATTGTAAATTGGCAGCAAAATGATGTTATTTACAACAACTTTTATTTGAATTGAAGTCTGTGGTGTTGTAGGGATTTTACATTTTGTTCATGGTTATGACTAGTATTGCCTCACCACTTGGAATAGAAATTGGAATATGAGAAAAAGAATTTGGGGAGGGTAAGAAGGTAATGAATTTGAAGGAGATGGGAGCGGGTGTTAAAGTGGGATTCCCCTAGACTTCTGTTGTATGTAATGGTTCCATTCTTCTGTCCTTATCTGGCTATCATCTACACATTTTTTAGGAATCAACTTGATGGCAACCCTTCCAGGAAGGCTTCCATAATCTTCAAGACTGGATTAGGGTTTGTACTTATATAAAATCATAAATATTTTGTATTTCCTCCCATCCTGCTTTTCACACTCAGAATGTTGTACTGTAATTTCCTGCACTCCAGATGTGTGCTTCCTTAGACAGGAATTGTATCTGACTCACTAGTGCTAAATTCATGGTGGTTGTGTAGTAATTGTTCAGTGACTGAATGTTTATCATTCAGTCTGGAAGAACTGACTGGATTGTGTGCACTGCAATACGGCATATTTGGCTTTACAGAAGGGTAACATTTAGGTAAAAGAAAATGTGGCTGGATATTGAAAGTCAGAAAATTTGGAAAATTCTTCTTTATGCTTTTGTATTTTGGAGCAGTGGGATGTATTCTTAACTAGAAACCAGGACTTGAGTTCTGTTTCTTTAATGGCATCTGTATCTGTTTGCTGTTGGCAAGATTCCTGACCTCTCTGGATATCAGTTTCTGTATTTGTGGGGGAAAAAGGCCCTTAATTTGATTTCCAGGGTTTCTTTGAGCACCTATATTATTATATGAACAGCAACTTGGTATCAGTGGCAGGACTAGTTCTTAACCTGGTGAGTTTCTTCTTGAGGCGAGGGTGGGTATTGCCTTGTTTTGCCAAAGTCAGTAAACTCTAGTGGAAGCAGATAACATCGAGAAGCTTCCTCATTTGTGGCCAGAGGAATGTTGCTTATTCCATATTATTCAGAAATGGAAATTATGATTCAGTTGCTCCTGAAGCACATAGATCTAAGGACTTTTGGAAGAGGAAGTTCCAATATGCAATGAATTATAGATCAAGGCGAAATGGGGTTACTATTTATTGTAGACACATCCCCAATGGACAAGTAGAAGATGAATTAAGAGTAACTGTTACTGTAACAAAGAGATCAAATAAAAAGTTACTGTTAAAGAACAAATACTTTGTATCCACAGGGACCCGCTGAGGGTTTCAATATCCATGGATGCTCAAGTCCCATAGTTGGCCCTCATTATCTGTGCTTCCTCATCTCTGTATTCAATCAACCACGGATTGTAAACATAGTGATACTAGATAATCTATAGATGGTGGAATCTGAGGGTGGAATTCATGGATTTCAAGGGCCACTGTATATTATTTTTTGTCCCTCACAGTTTTCCTGTAATGGTATGGGGAAGTTATCTTTTAGTCAGTCATTCAGCGAATCAAATTCCTTTCAATTCAGTGTGCTATTCTAGGGTATACTGTCATCTGTTCAGTAAAAGCTGGGTTGCTGTGAATTCTTGGTTTCAATTGAGGCATATGTGGGATGTGGTTGGGGAGAGATGAATGCAGCAAAGCACACATGCGGTGTTTTAAAGTCAAGGCCTAGAAATTGCACATATTCTTCCGATTACATTACACACTTAGGAGCAAGGGGAGGATGGGTATAGTTCAGTGGTAGAGGGCATTTTTAGCATACATGAGGTCCTAGGTTCAATCCCCAGTACCTCCTTTAAAAACAAACAAACAAAAAGAAGCAGCAAGAGGAATTGGGGAGTATAGTCGGTCCCCAGCTGTATTTCTAGAAAGTACGGGAGAATGGACTTTTGGTGGGTAACTTAAAATCTTTACCAGTTTTATGACTTTCAATAATTAGAAGCGAAATGGTCAAATGCATCAAAGATGCAATTTGAGTCATCATTGTACTTTTTTTTAACATATCCTCATCACATTACAAATGTATAAATCCATTGTTAATTATTTTTGTAGCACAGCCATACAGTAGATGCTATGTAGCTCTTCAAATGCGTTTGTAGAATAGTTAATACAATGAGAATGAGTACACCATATGTAGCTAATTTAAACTAACAAGATATGAAAAAAAGTGATGCAGTAGGATAAGTAGTTTTATAAAAAACCGTTTGG